CTGTGATACTAGTATTTCTGATTCTTGGGGGTTTATAACAATTCAAGACAACTTTGCATCAACTCATGACTTTATTCGATGCAAAAGTATGAAGCAATTCAATTTTTGTAAATAAATGTTTTTTTAGCACTGAATAGCGTACATTGTCATTTCAAAACGTCGCCATTCTCATTTACGATCGAATAGAGCATCCATAAAAATAGCCCAATTTAACATTAATAAAATGCAGTGTAACAAATAATGAATCAGCCCACCAATTTTTCAATCATAAAATGTCAAAATCGAAGACAGATTGGTTTTGAGTCGAGAAGAAGGGTAAATAAAATAGTGTTCATTTCAATCACCCCAAAAATCGAACAGGACAAAATTCTGGGTAAAGGTGTCACAATTTGTTGCGAAAATGTGTCGCTGCTGGTAAAATAGATAAATTAAAAAACTACTCGCCGGCTAAAATATGACCTTATACAAAAATTCTGATTTAAAAATTATGTGAAAAAGCTCGAATTCTGGAATAAACAACTAAGTTGTAAAAAAAAAAAACATAGAACTGACGATGTCAAAAATAGTGACCGGCTGTGTACTGATCACGTGACAATACCCATACCCTCAACGCGCCTTTGCCAGGGAATACAATTATCTAATACAATGACCGTTTCCAGATAGGGGATAGAGGGACTGTGGTTTACGTTATGGGATCTCGACACGTTTTTAATCCTTTGTTTTTTGCTGAAGGATTACACATAAATATGCGTCGCCGAGCACGTTCTGCATTCATTTCATTCATTACTATAGACCTAGCAACAGTAGGTGCATGGAGCTAAAAAAAAATCTTTTTTTTAGCTCCATGGTCCATGCTAAAGCATACGACCATATCCCGTTCCACTTCTCTCCATCGTCATGCCATGTCATACAAGTATGAATCAGTATATATTCTCTTAAATTTACCACCGAACGCATGATTTTTGTTCGTGCCGAGCGTTCAGGTAGCAAATCTCTATCGAGACCGAGTTCTTCGGCACGTGCCGACTCGGTTCCGACAGTTCACACACACGCGCGGACTCGGTCCGAGTCTCGGCACGTACCGAGATCTCTAACGTGTATCAGTGGCGGGGCACACGGGGGCTGAAACGAGCTGAAATCCTTTGTGCCAGCAATTTTCCGCTCAAAATGCAGAATATAGCGTTTCAGAGGGTCTGGATTTCAAAGTCTTTAAGGAGGAGTATGTCCCGGACTCCCTAGTAAGGTCGAAGGCGCGATGTTGGTGAGCAAATCTCGCTTCTCCATGTAAAATGTCGTGCCGTCGCCTCTGTGTATAGAGGGACTGTGACACTAGTATTATTGTACAAGATTGTTTAACGATTTGTTCGTCTTTACATGGACCTTACAGTATACATGTGTCTATGGTTGCCGTAAGTCCATGCTATGAGTAAGTTGTTTGTGAAGGAAAATAATGTTCAAGCCTTGATCATCGATTGTGATCTTCTGTTTTATATATATTTATATTTATTACGGATATGAATATGTGAATAATAAATGTAAATATGACGTGAGTAGACGTACATGTTATAATTGAATAATATAAATAAGTCGCGCTTGAAGTACGCACGAGCTACAAATTAAACCTGCTTTTTGAAATACAAATATAAATATGCCGTACTGCGACTTATAAATAAATAACACTCTGGCTGGCCTCTTCGCGCCGCCTCCAGTGGAATATTCATAAGCTGACTATGCAGTGTTTCTCGTATACCGTGGGAAGTTCTTCTCTGCATAAAATCAAATAGAGGGACTGTGATATATCGCTTCGACGAATGTGTCATTTCAAGAGAGTTTGCGTCATTTTCTCAAACTTTTCAAATTGTCTTTTGCAACCTCGG